TTAGGGTTTAGGGCTTCTTGGAAGGGTCATGGGTAGATGCAAGTAGGGCTAGAAGGCTCTTAAACTTGGCCCATCACGTGATCTAGATCCAATGAAAGGTATACCTCCGTACATATAGTTCTATAGAACCCAAGGGCCCATGCTTCAGATCCCTCTAAAGAAGGGACCATGCAACTACCCTAAACCCTAAACCCTAAACCCTAAACCCCAAACCCTAAACCCTAAACCCTAAACCCATCTGTACGTCATCTGCCTCATGAGCCCCAAGGCCCGAACCGTCTAAAGAAGGCGACGCGGCCAAACCCCTCCCCCCGAGCAGACCTTTGGCCCCAGCTAAGCTTCGGGTTTACGGTTTAGGGATGAGGGTTGAGGGTTTAGGGTTTAGGGTCTAGGGCCTAGGATCTAGGGTTCAGGGTTTAGGGTTTAGGGTTTAGGGTTCCGCGCTTCGCCGAGCGCTCCACCCCTAGACATTCAAAACCTAGAACCGAATTCGTTGGGATGTTTCCCCCTTGTACTAACAATCCTTAATAGGGATCATACAGGGGGTACTGTAATCCCTATGAAGGACTGTTAGTATAGGGTTTCCAAACTTAGGAGTACCTTATTGGGGTCCTTACTATAAGGAATTCCTGCTATTTGGGGGTCTGTATTTGGGGTCCCTTTTTTTCGCAAACCCCCAATTCCCCCAACCCCCCACAAGCCACCGCAAGCCATCCAATCCAAGGGGTTAAGGGGTTGAGGAATCCGGGCACTGCGGGGGTTTGGGGTGTGATATCTTTGAAATGTTTTGGGGGCCTGGGTCTAGGGCCAGGGTTTGGGGTTGAGGTTCGTAGTGCAGGGATCGAGCCTCTTCGCAGATGAAACATGGGCTTCTTGCCCGCCTCGCCTCTGCACGAGGATTCTGCGACTTAATTCTTTTACGGTTTAGCGTTTAGGGTGTAGGGTTGAGGAACGGCTGCATCCCAAACCCGCGAGTCCGGCGAGACGGGCCTTCTCACTCAACACGAATATCAACCACCACAAGGGCAAGGCCAAGAAAACATGCAAGAGCAACAGACAAGAGAGCAAAAAACTTCAAGAGTGCACGTTCAACGAAGACGCCCTCACCTAAACTCCAAGCCGACAGACTCGCGCCTACACACACACACACACGAATAATCAATATAAGCCCTGTTTATGTACCTGCGGATGTAGGTTTCAATGAGGGAATCCTGCTGCAGGTGGCTCGGAACCCTAAACGGGTTTAGGGTTCAGGGTGCAAGGGTGAAAGGGTTTAAGGGTTTCAGAGTGTTAAGGGATTCAAGGTTCAACGCTCCTGCAAAACCCGATACCTGCCTTGAGGGAACAGCCAGGGTGAGGCGCTCAGGGACCGGGCGAAGGCTCGCGCCTTCCGGTGCATGGGGCACGGGGGTGAAGGACCTGTGAGGACTTCTTTATGGGCTTTGGGGCTTAGGGTTTAGGATTTAGGATTTAGGGTTTAGGGTTTAGGGTTCAGGGGTTAAGGGCTCACGGGCTTAAGGTTTAGGATAAAGGGCGGCAGTCGGGTGTAAGGGCTTACCGGCTTTGGGGCTCCGGGTAGTTCTGGTCTTAAAGCTTCTATCTGAGCTATAAGGGTGAGGGGCTATACCCAAAACCCCCTAAACCCTAAACCCTCAACCCTAAACCCTAAACCCCAAACCCTAAAGCCCTAAAGCAACAAAATGCTTGCGGTGGCTGAGAGCTCAGGGCTGAAGGCTTTACGGCTTGGGGTTTGAGGCTGCGGCTTCAGGCAGTTTAGGGTTTAGGGTTTAGGGTTTGGGGTTTAGGGTTTAGGGTTTAGGGTTTGGGGTTTGGGGTTTAGGGTTTAGGGTTTGGGGTTTGGGGTTTAGGGTTTAGGGTTTAGGGTTTGGGGTTTAGGTTTAGGGTTTAGGGTTTAGGGTTTAGGGGGGTTTATAGAAGTTGTAGGCGCCAGCATTCCGGCCACCCTGGTGGGTTTTGGCGGGATTCGCCCCCCCCCCCCACGGTTCATGGACTGTGGTTCATGGTGGGTTTAGGTCGAGTTTGGCTGTAGGGTTTGGGGCCCTCACTATGCTCTGCGTGTTTCGTGGGGTTTTAAAGCTTCTTGTTATTTACAGGGCTTTGGGTTGAGGTGTAGGTTTAGGGTTTCACCTCTCCCCCCGTGCTTCGCGGCAGGTTTACGGCTCAGGGATTAGGGGTCAGGGGGGTTGAGGGTTGGGTTTACGGTTTCCCTCTCCCCCCATGATTCGCGGTGGTTTTCAGGTTAACAGTCAGGGTTTGGGGGGGGTGGGGTACACGGGGTGCCGTGAGGGGAAGGGGCGGTTACCATCGCGGAGCGCGGGCACATATGTAGGGTTTATAAGGCTCATAGGGTTTATAGGCCTCAACCCTAAACCCTAAACCCTAAACCCGAAACCCAAAACCCTAAACCCTAAACCCTAAACCCTTATAGGGGTTTTAGGTTCCACCGTTTATGGGGTTAAGGCTCGGGGCCGCAGGCCGAAGGCTCGGGTCGATGGTGTAGGATTATTCTCCCCCAAATCCTGTTTAGGGTTTAGGGTTTAGGGTTTAGGGTTTAGGGTTTAGGGTTTAGGGTTTAGGGTTTAGGGTTTAGGGTTAGGGTTCGGGAGTTTAGGATTTAAGGCTCAGGCCTAAGGGCTTAGGGTTCGGGAGTTTTAGGGTGACAGAGTATGGGATCAGGGTTGCGCAAGTTCACCACCCCAATACCAAATTGATACGCCTCATGTGTGATGTGTCTGTGTCTGTGCATGTGTCTGTGCATGTGTCCGTGTCCATGTCCTTGTCCGTGTCCGTGCCTGTGTGCGTGATTTTCCCTAAACCCTCAAGCCGAAAACCCGAAAACCCGAAAACCCTAAACCCTAAACCCTAAACCCTAAACCCCTCAACCCCAAACCCTAAACCCTAAACCCCCATACCCCCTAAACCCTTATAACCCCTAAACCCTTATAACCCCTGAACCCTTATAACCCCTAAACTCTTATACCCCCTAAACCCTTATAACCCCTGAAGGCTCAACCTTTAGGTGTTTAACTTTCGACGGCCTCGGACTCGGTGATGAAGGCGTCGAGGCCGAAGTTGTCCCCGAACCTAATTTTTTGGGGGTTTTAGGGTTTTAGTGGGTTAGGGTTTAGGATCTAGGGATTAGGGTTTAGGCTTTAGGGTTTAGGTTTTAGGGTTTAGGTTTTAGGGTTTAGGGTTTAGGGTTTAGGGTTTAGGGTTTACGGTTTAGGGTTTAGGGTTTAGGATTGGGGGTTTAACTAGGTTTCCCCTAAACCCCTGAAGCCTAAGCTTGAGACTCTCAACTCAACTCCCTGAAACTGGGACTTGGTCCAACTTGCCTAGCATGACAAGCCCCAAAGCCCCAAACTCTAAACTACCCGAAACCCCTGAACCCAAAACCCAAATCCCAAAAAAGAAACAACCTTAAATCCCTAAACCCTAACCCAAAACCCCTAAACCCTAAACCCTAAATCCTGAAGCCTAAATACAAAACCCGAAGCCCTAAACCCGAACCCTAGGCCGCCTAAACCCTCTAAACCCGCTAAACCCGAAACCCTAAACTCCACAAACCCTAAACCCCAAACCCCACGAACCTAGACCCTAACCCCCAAAACCCCAAAATCCCAAACCCTAAACCTTAAACCCCTAAACCCCTAAACCCTAAACCCCAAAAACAAAACCCCAAAAACCTTAAACACCTAAACCCCAAACCCTAAACCCTAAATCCTGAACGTTGACCCCCTAAACCCTAACCCTAAACCCCAAACCCTATATCCTGAACCCTAAATCCTAAACCCGGAACCCTAAACCCGAAACCCTAAACTCGAAACCCTGAAACCCAGGACCCGAAACCCCAAATCCCTAAACCCCAAACCCTAAACCCTAAACCCCAAACCCTAAACCGCAAACCCTAAACCCCAAACCCGAAACCCCAAACCCCAACCCCTAAACCCTAACCCCTAAACCCTAAACCCTAAACCCCAAGGTCAGCTTGACGAGGCGCACTGTGGAGCGAACCGCCTGCGGCGCACCCAGGTGCGGCGCGCCGGCGGCCAACCTGACTTAGGGCATTTTGGGGTTTAGGGTTGGGGTTTAGGGTTTAGGGTTTAGGGTTTGGGGTTTGGGGTTTGGGGTTTGGGGTTTGGGGTTTGGGGTTTGGGGTTTGGGGTTTCGGGTCTAGGCTTCGGGTCTAGGGTTTCGAGTTTAGGGTTTAGTTGGGGTTTGGGGTTTAATGTCTCGGGTTTTTGGGGCTTTGGGGGAGTTTAGGGTTATGGGATTTAGGTTCTGAAGGGGCTGATTTGGGGCAAAAGCTGAGCATTGGTGACTTGTCCAAGGCGCACGGCATTGTCAGTGCCTTTCTATGTAGGTTAGGGCCTGGAATTTAAGGTTTAGGAATTTAGGCGATTTAGGGTCTAGGGTTGAGGGTCTAATCAAACTCCCCGTTTCCTCAAACCTCAGCCCCATACCCAAGACCCTGATTCCTGCAGTCCTACAGCCCTTATCCTTCCCAACCACTCCTAGCTGGCCAAGGACCACAGGTGAACGTGCTTGTCCACCCACCCTTGCCTTCAGTGTTCAGGGGCTCTCTTCAAGGTTTAAGGGCTTTGGGGTTGTTGGGTTCAAGGGTACACTAAAGGCCGAATGCAAATTGAAAAGGCTTTGGAAAGGGAGGGTTGTAGGTTGAGCGCTTCGGCCGCTCTCTCCAAGGAACATGGCGACTCACTGACAATCGATGAAAAGTGAGATGAACATGATGCAGTCTAGGTTCATGCCGATACCCCGGGATTCAACACGTCAAAGAGGGGCCGACAGCTTCAACCGCTGCGAACGTGAGCTGACCAGAAGAAACACATGGGGGTTTACGAAAATAACGGTACCCCTTTATACCCCAAATAGATTGGAATCCTCCGTAAAGGCCCCAAAAGGGTACCCCTATTTTCGGAAACCCCATGCTGCCCCAAGAATGGGAGGTATCTGCCAAGCTACCCTTTCTGTTTTACTGCAAAGTCGAGGAAGTAGGACACCACCTTGTTGCCCATGGAGTGTGCCAGCAAAATAACCCCAGCACCATCCTTGTCCAAGGTTTCAATGCTTGAAACCATTTTCTGAAAGTATCCTTCGCGCTTCTCCATCATGGATGGAGCAAAACGCCAGTCGTACGGAGCAGCGATCAAATCGACGCCCTCAACATAGCCCAGCTTCTCGAGCGTTCGCACAACTGGTGCGAACACATAGCCTGTGTGAACGATTGGTGCAGAACGTCGAACCAAATCATACTAAACCCTAAACCCTAAATTTCCCTATACAGCAACTGCAAAAATTTGGAGGAAAACCACCGGCAAAACTGCTAGGCGGACGCGCCGCAATGGCTTTGGCACGCTGGAAACTTCTACACCTGCTTATATCATAGAAAACCCTGCGGCGCAAGACTAGGGCCTCAGAAGAATGCCCAAGAATGCCAACCCCTAAACCCTAAACCCTAAACCCCAAACCCCAAACCCTAAACCCTAACCTCGACGAAGGGCTGGCTTCTGCAGCCAAGCCAAAGAAGCTGTCTGGGTCCAAAGAGTCCACGCCCGCGATCCCCGGGACGACCGTCAAGTGCACGCCAGGCGCCTCATGCTCAGCATCCGCCAGGACCAAATGCCTTACTTCTCCACTAACCAAGGGAAAAATGTTACACTTCATTGTTCCTACTAAAACAAAGGAAACACAGAAGGTTCCAAGTCTAACTATTGGCTAAGTAAGATGCTGGAGCCACTTGTTCTTCAGTTGCTTGGCCTCCGCATCGTCGAACGTGCCCTTGCCATGCCTTAGGTGTGGTGCCCTGACGTCACTTGCAGGGATTAGGGTTTAGGGCTAAGGGTTTAGGGTTTAGGGTTTGGGGTTTAGGGTTTAGGGTTTGGGGTTTGGGGTTTAGGGTTTAGGGTTTAGGGTTTAGGGTTTAGGGTCGCATGCCAGAACCATGAGCAACCGGAACTCCTTCAGCCCTTTGGGACGGTAGAAAGCGGGGGCACAGCATCCTTGTGACCCCAAGCGGCATGGCCGTGAAGCCAATGCTGGTGAGCCCCAGCCAGACTTTGTAGCCCTTCCTTGGCTGACTTCTGAACCCCTCCAAGAAGCTTAACTTTTTAGGCTCCTTATCGTAGTTTCTACCAAAACCCCCAAGAAGTTCAAGGCCTGAGAGCCAGATGAAAGCCAAGCTTCCACGATGGGCAGACATCGCTGTGTGCGACCTCGCATGCCACGGGCAGGCTCAAAGGGCTTCAGATCCCTTCCTTCGTTTCTTCGGGTTTCTAACAGAAGAGCCCAGCCGCGTAAAAAAAGGGGTGTGAAAAGGGAGGGAAGAAGAGCCCGAGGCAGGGGTCCCAGCGTAAAAATGGGGGTGACCTAGATAGGTACTCGGTGAGCCCGGGTTCTCAGGGGGGAATCCTGGCCCTAAAACCCTAAGCCGTAAAATGCCGTAAGGGTGCTAGGGGGGTACCCTAGCCTTAAACCCTGGAGACAAGATGGGCACTTCCCCAAAACAGGGGGCCACCTCTTCTATACCTCAATAGACTAGAAGCCCCTCAAAAAGGGTCCCCCTATTTCTGGAAACCCCCCTATGAGTCATAATCTAATAAGAAGCCCCTTAAAAAAGGGACCCCCAAAAAGGGTACCCCTATTTTTTTTTACCTCCCCGGATGAGTCATAATCTAATGTCCCATTCTTATGAGCCGCGCCCATTCCGCCCCACAGCCTCCAGGCGAGAGGAGCAAAAGCCGGGAACAATCACAATCCTCAGCCCAGGGACAAAAGGGTTTGGGGTTTAGGGTTTAGGGTTTAGGGTTTAGGGTTTAGGTTTGAGGGTTGGGGGTTTAGGTTTGAGGGTTGGGGGTTTAGGTTTTTAAGTTTAAAGTTGAGGGTTAAAGTTCAAGCAAATCTTAGCTACTAGACCCAACAACCCGAATCTTTTCTAGACCTTGAACCCACACCTCAAACCCTTTTACGTCTCAAACCCTGCAGGCTTTAAGGTTTAAGGTTCAAGGCTTGCAACGTCAAGGCTTAGGGACTAGAATCGCGAACCTCCAGTAGATGGGTAGTTCTGAATAAGGTGGTGCGGCTGCAAAAGGTTCTCCTAGCTGTAATGTACATGCACGTGCCCATGAACCTCATAGATTGAAGGTTGCACTCCAAAACCACACAACCTAAAACCTAAAGCCGAAACAACAAGCAAAAAAACGATGAAGCGCAATTCAACCCTACACCCTAAAACCCTAGAGCCCAACCGTAAAAGGCGCTAACTGAGCCTTGTCCCCTAGGCAGGAGCCCTTCCACCCAAAACCACTCAACCCCAAAACCCAAACCACTAAACCCCGAAACCACCAAAAAGCTTGATGCCTTAAACCCTGACCTAAATACCCTAAACCCTAAACCCTATAATGCACCCGCCCTCAACCTTGGTAAACCCTGAACCCTCAACCCAAAGCCCTAACAACCCAACAAGCCTTTAAAGTCAGGTGCGGAATCCGGCGCCCGCTGTGGCCTTCAGTAGCCATCGCTCCAAGCGCAGGGCCCTAACCCGTTAAAGGCATAAGCCCTAGAGGTTTTGGGGTTTAGGGTTTGGGGTTTGGGGTGGAATTCGAGGGTTTAGGGATCTGGGAATAAAAAGTTTCAAGGTTCCGGGACTGGGGTTCGGGCCGTGGGCCTTGTGAGGACTGTTATAAGGGTGTTGGGGTTTAGGAAAACCAGCACAAGGGCACTTAACACCTGAAGGCTCAAGTCGCTTGGAAAGTGCGATGAAGGAGAGCCACTTGTCCAAAGTCTCCAAGCTACTGCGGCTTCTTGGGGTTCAGGGCTTAAGGTTGGTAACAAATGGCAAACAAGCCCAGGGATGAGCCGCAGAAAAGAGGGGTCTTGCAGTAGCAGGATGGAGTTTGGTGCACACCCTGCGAATGACTTGTTGATCCTGTCAACATGTTACAACTTGTTGTTCATTTTGGATTGGTTCGTTCATGTGTTTATAGTGTCTTCATGCATTAATACACTTTGTATATTTCTATATTAGTGTATTACTATATTCGCATACTATTGTATTTTTGCAGTATCAAATTCTTATACTAGTAAGCTAAGTTGCCAGAAGCATGCCACGAACATCTCCGGCATTCGCGGCTGTGACTTGAGCCAAGCTTGTGAACATCGACATATCGACATGTGGCTTTGGCGGTTCAACTTCATGCATGAGCCGAGCAAAGCTGAAAGAAAGAATAAAAGAAAGACAGCAAGAAAGGAAAGAAAGAAGGAGAAAGAAACAAGGACAGAACGCATTGATATGTTTTGTGCCTTTTTGCAACTGGATATGAGCTCTCCCTCACCACCCGGTGATGTCCCAAGTGTGGGAGCGACTCACTCCATAGTGGTCAGTGTCGGCGAGCGACCGCATCTGTCGGAACGCAGCTTGGCAGTGACTCCAGGGTACCACATGGGCCGTGCTTGGGAATCGGCCTGACAGCCGCCCGCGCGGGACCAACGGGGAAACGTAATCCACAGCGCTCACCAGCATCGGAAGTGAAGTGGCGCCAGAGACTGTACCAGGCTTTGGAATGCCCCCACAGGCCATGTGTTTGGCGATGATGTGCGGGGATCCAGCCCCACGACTCCACGCACACACAGGCCACATGTCGTCAACCTCACAGCTACGGTGATGGCAACTGTGACTCCCAGACTGTGCCCACACAGGATCGTGCTACCCTGGCGGATGACAAAGGGCAGCAGCGTGCAGGGACAACCCGAGAGCAGACACTCCTCCATGGGGCGCAGATAGAGAACTTGGCCAATGTGCATGCATGTGTGTGGTACGCCCTCGTTGACAGAGACACGAGCGACACCTGCAAATATGACCAATGTAGGGTTAACAAAGCATGCTCGCCTGCAAGCGTGAGCAGCTTCAACCTGGAAGGGCATGTGACGACTGGTAGGCCGTCCCCGCCTCGACACCGCAAGTGTATAAAATTGTGTTTGGATGTTTTGGAACCAAAACCTTTCTTTGCTCATGTCAAGACCTTTGATGATGACGACACCTCAAGGCCTTTCATGGTGAACCTGAGCCCTCAGTGCTCGTGCAAAGGTGCCCTCATGGACACGTTGTGGCACTGAGCACCCCCCGATCAGGTATTGGAACCTGAGCGGCCCTTCCCATCACCGGAACCCTCTCCTGCCTAGCTTAAATCTCCTGGGCACGGGGTGCTGTCTTCGTGGACAAAGGGAACGGCCGGGTGCACAGAGGAAACGACCGGGCTTGACTGACCCAAGCGGAGGCCAACAGGAGAAGAGGAAGCTGCGGTGGCTTGAGTGACCCAAGCGGAAGCCGACAAGAGAATCAAAACAAAAGGAAGCTGCGGCGGCTTGACTGGCCCAAGCGGAGGCCGACAAGAGAAGTTGAGGCTGCGGTGGCTTGACTGGCCCAAGCGGAGGCCGACCGACAAGAGAATCAGTAGAAGAAGAAGCTGCGGTGGCTTGACTGAGCCAAGTGGAGGCCGACAAAAGAAGAGGAAGCTGCTGTGGCTTGACTGACCCAAGCAGAGGCCGACAAAGAGGACACATGAGAATGAGAGGAGAGATAATGGGAGGCTGTGGTGGCAAGCGTCATGCGATCAGAGCTCAACGAAAAGGCATGGCTGCTGCTCCTCCGCGGCGGTCCTCCACGCGTTCTCACGGTGCAAGAGAAGCACTGCAAGAAACGGTCAGTCTCGGCTGACGGGCTGCCCCGAGGCCCGGCAGCAACCAGCCCTCCCAGCGCACGCCAAGCGGTGGCCTGCTTTTCCAGACGCGGGTCCACGTGGCGGCGATCTGCTGTGCATGCGACTCTCCATCCCCAGGGCGGCAGGTAGTGGCTCGGCCATGTGCCCCAGCGAAACGGATCATCACTGCACTGCACGTCCGGAGGGCCTTCGATTTGTCAGCCGTTGGTTGCTGAAGCAGCAAGAGGCGGGGCCCGACTTTTGCTCCACAGCATCCACCGGTGTTCCCAGCCTGCAGTGCCTGAGTCTGTTAATTTGTTCATGAGCCTTGCCTTGGACTCGAGTAGCCATCAGGAAACCACCGGGCATGCTGAGCACGGCATGGTCCCCCTGAACACCTGGCATGCTGAGGCTGCTATAGACAAGGCCACCTGTGTGACAGGAGGAGGTGCGCCCACCCTCCTCCACGATTACACAGCCAAGAGCTGCGGCATACTGCCGCAGCTTGGAAGGCGCTGATCGCCCTCTGTATTGGAGCATTCTCAAGTCACTGAATCGAAGGAAAACGTCGCCTTGAGTTCCAGACTGTGGACTGCACATCTTGCGCAGTATGCCCATGCCTGCAAGGCCCGGCACTGCAAAGGCTCAGCAACTCGTTATCGTAGGCTCGAAGACAGGCAGGGAACACGATAACACATATAACACGATACAAAGGGAACATCAACAGCTGCACCGCAGCTCCAAAATGAAGGAAAGCGGTTCCAAGGTCGGGCATGGCCTGTGCGAGCAAGCGGGACAGCTTTTTGTATTGGTGCACCGAAGGTGTGCACACAAGTTTCTCCCCTTTGCCGACTTCGTAAAGGGAGCTGCATATCTCGCATGTCCGCAAGACAAATGACTGCCAAGACAAAGCCAAATCCACTGAACCGAACGAAGAACAAAATGCAGGGACGGAACTGCTGTGGCAGG